TAAAAATTTCACCCGTAGAACAATTTGCCAACTCAAGGATGTGTTTTTAAGGGAACAGATAGAGCTTCAGACCCCCCCTTAATTTCATTGACCCTCCAAACGAATTGAGGAAAAAGATTTAAAAGAAGTATTCTGGCGAGCGAAAGATGTACGAAATTGCTCTTGCTCAACCAATAAGGGTCGATCGCGCATAAAAACTATAGTTTGGAACCCTAGTAAAGTGTGAATATAAAAAGAAAAATAAAGGAAAAGGCGTTCCAATGAATTAAATGAAATGAAAAGAGCACCCAATACGAAGAGTCCTAGTACTCGCACTAAGAGGATTAGAGGAATAGGGAATGTCTTAGAAAATTGGTTGACCTCGTAATTTACTAAATGACAAAGGAAGTCCTCTACCGATGATTGGGGTTGCATTTTGTTGTAAAGGTCGGAGCGTTGCATTGGTTTGAGTCAGGCTTGCTTGGGGATAAGCAAACGGTTTAGTGTGGGGAATTTGATAACACTGTATTTGGACAAGTTTTTCTCGTCATTTCTTGTTTGTTTAAGCTTTAATTTTCACTCTCGTGGCTAGGTTGTGTTGGTTTATTTTACGCTAGGTTGTGTGATTGGGGCCTAATTGCACATATTTTGCCCCCGGTTTGCTTAGATGTTTGTGCCAAATTCGCTCATTAGAGGTTGGTTTTACGTAAGGTTCTTCTTGTTTGAGTGCTTTTCAGGATTTAATAGGTGGAACCAGCCTCGGAGTCGAAGGATTGGCGAAAAGGATCGAAAACCGGGAGAAGAGGTGAAAAAGCGCAAGTTTACGGCTAAAGACAGGAGTTCACGATCGTGCAAGACCTTGAAGAAGGGGAGTTGACCGTGAAGCGCAAGGCGTCCAGAGCCAAGTTGAAGGTTACTGACACAAGGCAAGTTCACGGTCACTAAGACCGTGAAAACAAGCAGTTGCCCGTGAACTGACGTGAGCGATGCGGAGCGTTTTGCCGCAAGGCTTGAGTTCACGGACGTGTTTGATGGTTCACGACCGTGAACTTAGGCCGTGAACTAGCTCTTCTCGGGTTTAAAAGCTGAGCTGCAAGGAGGAGAGAAGAGGGGGAGCCACTTTTGTGAGAGAAACACCTTCTTCAGCATTCTAGTGAGAGAAACAGAACCAAAAAAGAAGAAGAGGTTAGGGCTTGGCTTCAAAGGCAGATTTTGGGAAGATTTCCCCAAGGAAATCCAAGCTCAAGGTTGAAGAAGAAAGGAGGCATCCCCAAAAGATGGTTTCCACCTTTTCCCCTTTTGTTCTTCCCACTTCTTCCATGGAGTAGTCCTCCTTTCATTTGGGTGTAGTGAAACCCTAACTCTACCATGTAGTTTTCTTGTATGTGGGTTGGATGATTGATATTGGGTATTGTTCATTTTAATGTTTGAGGCATTATTCACCATGATTTTGCATGCTTGTGCTTAGCAACTTAGGGGTTGTGCATATGTTGTGCTTAGCATCCTAGGGATTGTGCATAATTGTGCTTAGCATCCCTAAGTTTGTGCATTTAGGTGCTAGTAATCTAATTTGCCAACTTAGCTTAGTTTAGAGAGGAAAATTCCCCTTTTTAAGGGAGACTCAATCGAGTTGGTTTTCCTTCCGCTTTCCAAGCCACCTAAACTAGGTTGAGTTAGGGCAACCTTAAATATTGAATTGAACTAGTCGATTACTCTCTGAAGATTAAGTTATAGAGTGAAAATAGATTGATGGTATAGTGAGAGAGGGAGTAGTTGAGTTACCATCAATGCTCGATTGGGGGTATTTATACCCAGTTAGGTGGATTTTAAGACATTAAATGCCATGCCAGGCGCTCTAATCATGTCCCATCTGCTAGAAGTAGGGGTGTTCAAACGGTGTGGTTATCATGGTAACCGTTTTAACCAGTACTATTTGGATAATTTGGTTTGGTTAATTTGGATAATTGGTTTGGTTTGGTTAAAAAATTTAGCTTGTTTGGTTTAGGTGGTTTGGTTTGGTTTCATACACTCCTAACCAGTCAAACCAAATTAACCAGATAAATAATTAGTCACATATCTAATATATACACATACTTAATACTTTGAATAATCACTCAAGAGTTAAACGTTCATCCCTTTTAGACTCATAAAATATAAAGCTTGATATTGTTCTTATAATGTATATTTGTATATGTAGAGTGTAGACCACAACATATGAACGCCTAATTAGATAAATCTCATACATTATTTTGGATGAAAACTTGAAAGCAAGGTCCTTTTCAGCCTATGAAAATTGCTAAAAGACTAAGTCAATTCAAACAAACACAACAATTCATTAACCCATACTATTGTGATAAATTTTTGCTAGGTGAATACTTCTATTCTATACTAACCGTAAGATAATTGTCTTAGTTGCATGTATTTATGTTAAAGGTCAAATATAACCAAGTGTTGATTGCTATGTTTTATTCATTATATAAATTGTGAATTGATAAATTAACCGAAAATTTTCTCACTTAATGATAATGTGATTTTATATTGGTTAATCTGGCTAACCAATTAACCAAACCGATTAAACTTTAGTTTGGTTAATTTGGTTGTTGTATTAGTTTGAATGGTTTTGTTATGATATTGTATTCCATGGTTAATGAAATTTAGCCTTATTTGGTTTGGTAATAACCATGGTAACCATTTGAACACCCCTAGCTAGAAGACGCCGACGACGGGAAATTAATACTCAGTCATATGCCCATATCGAGGTAAATATCTCGTCGGATATCTACCTCTTATCACCCATCAGTGCTTTATGTCAAGCGGTCTAACTCATGTTCCATCTAAGGTTTAGCCTCCTAACAGTCTAATTAATGTTATTGTCAGAAAGATGAGGCAGTTCTAGCCAAGGCGTTCTTAGCTACTCATCACTAGGTCGACCCAGTTGGTTTTCTTCCTGGCCCTTAAAGCCTAGTATTGCTCAACACATAGCCCAACAGTTAACAAAACCATACAATTGACGCATATGTTAAGTTTTTATTTTTTATTTGCAAATGTAGTCTTAGCCTTAGTTTGGAGCTCTCGCTGATTCAATTGTCAACTACTCCTATCGAAAATAGGATTGACTATAGACTCGAGTCATAAGACATGGTTTCATAAAAGCGTATGCTTTTCCCGATCTAAATAAAGCTGCAGGTTTTCCATGAAGAAGACTACAATTCATTTCAAACACCCTCGTTCAAACTTTGTTGGAAGATGTGTGAGTCTTGTCTTAGAAATCATTGTCCAAATTGTTTGAGCCCAGAATGTTTTAGGTGGTTGTCGAGGCACGAGCAAAGTTTCTGTTCTTGAGGACGTGAAGCACACTCCTTGACCCTACAACAAAGGTCTGTTGGGCGGTTGCCCAGGACACTCTCTGATGATTAAGTTAGAGAGAGCAAATAGAAATGAGTGGTACGTAGAGTGAGTGAGCGAGTAGTTGAGTTCCCACCAATGCTTGTTTGGGGGGTATTTATACCCTGTTAGGTGGATTTTAAGATATTAAATGTCATGTCAGGAGCCGTAATCATGTCCCATCTGCTAGGAGACCACCTACGACTGGTAATTAATACTTAGTCATTGCCCATATCGAGATAAATAGTAACGATGGTTGTCATGCTGGTGGCATGCCAGCCGGTTGACCTGGTTCAACCTGTGTCGGTCATGAAACGGGTATGACACCACCAGTGTGATTGACTTACGAATTCTAAGCAAAATAAAATCATTTTAATGAATCTAATCTATAAAAAGGTTAATTATTATTCATTTTATGCATTTAATAGTTAAAAGCTTATGGTATTTGTTGGATGTAAGTAAATTGTCCACAAATATGTTTTATATATGATTAAATACATTGGATATTAATCATTTTCACATTTTTTAAACTGGCATGAACCGGCACAACCTGGTTATACCATCGGTTGTACCATTTCACTTGCCAAGCCGGCACAACAGTATAAACCGGTTTGACAATCTTGTTAGTAACTGAAGCTCTCATCAGATCCGAGCTACGACAAATCGGGTCCGTCGACTCAAATTTGACGACGTCATTGGTAGTGGGTGATTGTCTTGAGGCCGAATGCTTGTCTCTAGACGATGGGGAGGAGAAAATCGTGTGCGGTCGACATGGTAGATGGAAGAAGATAAAAGGAAGACGAAGATGCGATAACTTTTAATTTCCTTTTTCTTCTCTTTTTTCCCACGTAATTGGTAATTATTTTAAACCTCACATTGGTTCTGATGAAAAGTTGCCACGTCAGAACAAATCGGTAGCTCAATCAAAATCTATGACGATGTCGTTAAAGTTAATGACAAAATAACTAAAATAGTGTATTTTTCAAAAATTGACTATTATTATGATAAATTACAAAGTTATTGTTATCTAAGTGTATTTTTCCTAATAATGATAATAGAGTTACTAATTGATTATAGTGTGACAGCATTATCATAGTATCATTATACACTACAGAGAACCAAAGTGTCCCCACTCCCCACACTGAACCCCGGAAACCCCATCATCCCCCACTGGCCGCTGGCCGTTCCTTTCATTTCTTTGCCTTCAATTATTTCACCCGTCTCCCGTGTTTGGAAAGTTACTACACCTCTGCTCGTCTTTTCTTTTGTGCTTGTCATTTTCACCTTTAACTTGGGTTTGCAGTTTGCATGCTTAAATTTCATTTGCCCCTTTCCCTTTCCTGCCCCCCTTTCTTACTTGACTGTTAGATCCATCCATCCATTTCAATTTCATCCCCTCAGATTTACCTCCACTCTTTTTTTTATGCCGTCCGTCATAGCTTCAAGTTTTGGTCCTCAGTCGCCGGGCAGCAGTACAATGAAGGAAACCCCTCTTTTCCTAATGCTGGAGCACAAGATTAGTAATTAGCACTAAAATAGTTTAATAAAGGAAGATGCACACTCACACAACGGCTAATCCATCCAAACGAGAACTAATCACATTATTATATCCTGTATTGTAGCCCCCCCAAGAACAAAGCGACTTAGTTTAATAATCTACATATCTCTTTTTGTCAAAACTAGAACAAAAGGACGGGTAATTGTTTGTTTGACTGTATTTAATAATGGCTGCAGGCTGCATAACTATGCGTACTTACTTTGTTCTTGAGGTGTAAACTAAGATGGCGAGCTCTTCTCCAGCTCACGTGAAGCCATCCCCGTGAGTGTTAGAGCTTTTGAAGAAACCAAAGCAACCACGCCCCTAACTCTCTCTCTCTCTCTCTCTTATTGGTTTCCCTCTACAGCCTTCAGCTGATAAATCTTTCTCCTTCCACTGCTTTGGTTCTTTCTGGGGGGGTTTTCATTTCAGCTCTTCCCTTCCCCTGCTTCCTCCCATTTCCCATTTCTCATCCTCCACCATTGCTTCATTTTGCGCTTTCTGTTTCTTTTCTGGGAGCGGTCTTATCATCATTATTATTCAGTCAAACCCTTCAGTCTTTTGATAATGACTGCTGCAATGGGCGGGATTCTACCCAGATTCACTGCCATGATTCGAGTTGATATTCTTCCCATCAGATCCAAACCCTTGCGGTCTTGATTTCAGGCTCTCCCTCTCTCTCTCTCTGTGTGTTTCTGATTTTCAGGGGTTTGGAAAAGGAAAGAGCAAACCAAGAATGGAGATTTGGGTTCACTGTTGCTGGAAAAGGAAACGGCTCTGTCTCTCTTTACCAAAACCATCCCATTGATACTCTCTCCTCTACTCTTTTTCCCCCCTTGATTCTTCATTCCCTTTCCTTCCCATCCCTTCTTTTCCAGACCCGAAATGGAACCCCTGGTTTCGACCCGCTCACCACACTTCTTCTTCGCCCTCTTGTTCTCCGCCATTGTCATTTCCCCAGTCAGATCAGGCGACGCGGAAGCCCTATTAGCCCTGAAATCCGCCGTCGATCCTTCCAACTCCCTCCCCTGGCAGCCATCAGCAAGCCGCAATCTCTGCAGCTGGGAAGGGGTCAAGGAATGCATCAATGGCAGGGTCACCAAGCTCGTGGTAGAGTACCGCAACTTGAGCGGCGTCCTCGACGCCAAAATCTTGAACCAATTGGACCAGCTCCGGGTTCTCAGCTTCAAGGCCAACTCCATTTCAGGCCCGATCCCCAGCCTCTCCGGCCTAGTCAACCTCAAGTCGTTGTTCCTCAACCAGAACAACTTCACCGGCGAGTTCCCTGAATCGCTCACCGATCTCCACCGCCTCAAGGTCGTCGTCCTGGCCAGAAACCGTCTCTCCGGACCGATCCCCGACTCGCTCTTGAAGCTCAATCGGCTGTACGTACTCTATCTGGAGGAGAATGACTTCTCCGGTTCGGTCCCCCGTCTCAATCAAACCAGCCTCCGGTTCTTCAATGTCTCTCGCAACCGACTCTCCGGCCCGATTCCCGTCACGCCTGCTTTGGTCCGGTTCGATGAGAAGTCGTTCTCCGGCAATGCCGATCTCTGCGGCGAACAGATCGGGAAGCGCTGCTCGGAATTGAGTCCTTCCCCGAGCCCTAGTTCCGCAGCTGGTTCAAAATCATCGCCGTCGAAGCGGCGGCGGAGCAAGCTGATCAGGATCATTGCTCCAAGCGCGGCGGGATTGGTGGTTTTGATCCTGGCAGCGGCGGTGCTTGTTTTGTGTCTGGTTCGGCGGAATGGGAAGGCGAAAGAGAATGCGGAAGCGAAAGGCAGAGACAGCGGCGGGGGAAGCTTGGGCGGCGGCGGCGGCGGAGAGAGCGGGGGCCCCAGTGGTGGAAGGCAAGCTGGGTTTTCGTGGGAGAAAGGGGAGAGCATGGGAACACTGGTGTTCCTTGGCGCAGGGGATCAGGTGATGAGTTACAGTTTGGAGGATTTACTCAAGGCGTCGGCGGAGACGCTGGGGAGGGGCAGCGTGGGGAGCACGTACAAAGCAGTGATGGAGTCCGGGTTCATCGTGACCGTGAAGAGGCTGAAGGATGCGAGGTATCCGACGGCGGAGGAGTTCCGGAGAGAGATGGAGGTGATCGGACGGCTGAGGCACCCTAATCTGGTTCCACTCAGAGCCTATTTCCAGGCTAAAGAAGAGAGACTGCTCGTCTACGATTATTTCCCCAACGGCAGCCTTTTCTCTCTCCTCCACGGTACGTTAATTCATAACTGTCGGTCAATCTCTTCTCCTCTCCGTTTAGTTTTCCCTTGCTTTTTTTTTTAATTAGTCTGTTAATTAATTGGCGATTTGTTTTGACTAATTATTTTGATTTACATGCGAATGAATATAGGCCGTTGGTTAGTTAGACGATTTAGGGTAGACCGTCCCTCCGGAAGGATGAGAGGACAGCATACTGCATATATATATATATATATATACGGATGGGGACGGGACAGTGTCGCCTTGATTATTGTTACATTATTTTCTGTTTTTGTTACAAGGGAAAAAGGGAAAAAAATAATTTTCCATAAAAAGAAATAAAAATACAGACTTTCACGTGCTAATAATTTAGTGGTTCATGATTCATGAACTGCCAATGCTTTCTTATTTGAGAGCTTAATAATTCTCTTGATCGTCGTATGGTAAAATTGTATTATAAAGAAAAATCAGAATCAAAATATTTTATTTTGGAATCGTAGTTTAAATGATTTAATTGTTTGATACTGCAAACTGTGAAAGGGAAAGCCATAATTTGAGGGATTTGGCTGAAAGATCCAGACTAAAGCTTAATAACGTGAGCGAGAGAAGGGATCTGATCTGAAAATCCAATGGGACCAATGAGAGGACAAGTGAGGAGTGATCCTAATTTTGCAAAAGGTGAGAGAGAGTGACAATATTTGTTGGGAGTTGTTGGATGGAAATGTGGATCCTAGTGAAAGAGACCAACATTTATACCAACCAAATTGAGGAAGGAAAGGAAATTAAGCGATCCTCCCAGCCTTGCGTTTTTTGCAATTCGTTTGGTCGAGCAAGTGGGTTGAGGATTAATAAACAGATTGGTTTAGCCCGTTTTAGTTTGAATATATGAAAAAAGATATTATACTATTCATATATTAATTATATCAAATCTAATCTAACGTGTGAATAATAACATATAAAATTACACTAAAATAACATGTCTTACTTGGATCTAACATTTGGTGAAAATTGACACACTTATATAACATCAATAATCAAATGTTCAACTTAGAATTCGAAGATAGAACTAGGTGAAGAGGAAAACCGAAAAATAGTTGCATTTCGCAAACCAAAAAGAAAACGACACCGTGTGACCTCCAACCTGGTAAACTTGCAACAGGTCGATCCGATGGTTATATACGACCCGTTTTTCTTTGCGGGTCAGGTTCAAAACGGATGAACCAAGCAACCTTTTTTTGACCCCGTTCCATTATTCAAAATCATCTTCCTATCTCATTTTTATCATAGCTTTTTTTCTGATAAGGCAGGCAGGCAGGCAGCATGGGCCACCAATCATATGAAACATTGCATTATTGCATCATGCATCTTCCCTTCCATAGGGAATTGAAACTGCAACTGGGTCTGGCCTTCCTATAATCCGTACTCCCACTCCAGGCTGTCTCACATGCATAACCATTGCATTTTTGTTTTGTTTAGGACCAAGAGCCTCAGGAGGAGGAGGGAAGCCATTGCACTGGACATCATGCATGAAGATAGCAGAGGATCTAGCAACGGGACTCCTCTACATCCACCACAACTCACTAACCCACGGCAACCTCAAATCCTCCAACGTCCTCCTCGGCCCGGACTTCGAATCCTGCCTCACCGACTACTCCCTCGCCGCCTTCCAAGACCCAAACTCCCCCGACGAGCCCAGCGCCGCAGCTCTCTTCTACCTCGCCCCGGAGGTAAGGGACGCCCGCAAGCTCCCCACCGCCCAACCGGCCGACGTCTACAGCTTCGGCGTGCTGCTGCTGGAGCTCCTGACTGGGAAAACACCCTTCCAGGACCTGGTTATGCAGCACGGCTCCGACATTCCCACCTGGGTCCGCTCCGTCCGTGACGAAGAGACGGATTCAGGGGACGACCCGGCTTCTTCCGGCAACGAAGGTGGCGCCGAGGAGAAGCTGCAGGCCCTGGTGGCCGTGGCGATGGCGTGCGTCTCGATTCGTCCGGAGGATCGGCCGTCGATGAGGGAGGTTCTGAAGATGATAAGGGACGCGAGGTCGTCGGAGGCGCAGGTGGTGTTGTCGTCCAATAACAGCAGTGACCATTCCCCTGGGAGGTGGTCGGACACCGTGCTGAGCTTGCCCAGAGAAGACCATTTGAGCATTTGATTGGAGAGAAGAAGATTTTATTTGAATTTTCTTTCTTTTCACCCCTTATTCAATCTTTGGTCCCACCCCACGGCTTGCATTTTCTTTGTGCTTCAATTGTGTAATTTTTTTGGTTCCTTCCCCATTTATCTAATTCTTCTTCCCAGCGGTATTTAAGAGTACTGTCCATTCATGTAAATTTGTTCCGTTTATTTTTTTTTTTCTTTGTTTTCCCTAGCTAATCATTTATTCAATTTCCCTAGTTTTGGGTTTAAGTTTTTTTTTTTTTTCTTAATGAATCTGGAATCTTTATTTAAATTGGCAAATTGTAATTACAGTCCTTCCTTAAAGCATGAAAGATGAAAACGAGAGGTCTCTCTCTAATCTTTTTCTTTAAAAAAAAAAAAACAAAATACACTTGGATAGCCATAAATTTACACTTTGTGACAATAATAGCCAAATTTTGAAAAATACACAAATATAGCCACACTTTCGAAACTTGTTTGACAAATTTAGCCATTTTCGTTAAAAACTTTAACACCGTTAGTTACTCCGTTAGTAATATAGACTTTCCGCTGATGTGGATGCCACCTGGATAACCCGTCATCTCCAACTAGACATGTAGTGCTCACTTAGATGCCACGTCATATTTTAAATTAAAAAAATTATTTAAAAAAAATAATTGAGAAAAACAAAAACACTAATTTCAACTTTCTCAAAAGCCTCTGTGTCATTTCTCAAACACACAGAACCCTTCCATCTCTCTGTGTTCGTCGATGGTGCAATTAGGAGAAGAAGAACATGAGAGCTTTTGAATTCATCAATGGAGATGAACTCCACAAATCCCGTCAAGCTTATTCCCCTCAAACACCTTCTTCAACAACCCTTCCCATCCATGAAATTGACCATTAATCCCAGCTGTTCGATCCTCACCCCTTCCACCAAACTGACGGTCGTCGCTCTTCCTGAATCCCCAACCTATCCTTCTCGATCGTCGAAGCTGTCGCCGCTCTCCACAACCTCATTCTCTCCCGTCTCTTCCTCCTCTCCAACTCCCCATCCCCACCGCTGAAACGGCTGCAACATCATCACCTCCAAAGATCAATTCAGCCCACTTCAAACAACATAGAAACCCTTCAGTTTCGAATCCAACATTCAATCAGGCAAGAAAGCAAGACTTGAAAAAGTCCCAATTTTGATGCAGATCTGATACAGGGTAGCGGCGGCCCAGAGGACTAGGACGGTCTCAATCTCTCCGGCAAGCTCTGGATTCCTCGGTGAAGGAGATTGGAAGAGGCGGTGGCAGATCTGGAGACGATAGGCAGATACAGACCCCACACCTCTATGACCACGACCGGATATGAAAATAGATGTCGGAGTCAGCCGAGCCTTGGCGGTGGTTGGGTTTCGATCAACAAGGATCCCTCGTGCTTGATGTTGATGATGGCGTTGAAAAGGTGTTTTTCCTATGATTTTCACGCCAACGTCTCGACGATCGACGCTGCCGAGTCGCTCTCGTTCTCTCCGATCTGTTTCACTCATATCTGAATGACGAACAGAGGGAGAAGAGTGGATGAAGCGGCAACGCCGATACCAACAAGTCGAGGAAACGAACAAGATGAATACGCTAGAAGAGGAAGAAGAAAAGGAGGAGCACCAAACGTCGGAGAGAGAGATGGGTCGGTGGAGGGGTTCGTCGAGAAGGAGATGCGTTGAGGGGGAGATGTAGCTTTTGCTTTTTTTTTATTTACTTTTTTTTGGAGTATTTGAGTATTTCCATCTAGCATGACTTTCGAAGAAAATCACCATGTCAACGTTAGTCCAATCAGCATCAATGATAATTCTGTTAAACTTTTGACGAAATGGCTATTTTAGGCCCTGTTCACTTTCCAGCCTGTTTGGATACAATTCCGGAAGAAATGGAAATGGAAATGGAATTCAATTTTTTATTTTTATAGAATTCCATTTCCAATTCTAGTGTTTGGTATAATTCCTACAACTATGGAAATGAATTGCACTTTTAATCATAATGAATAATGTAATATGTTTGTTTTATTTTGGGAAATGAAATATGAATGAGAGAGAAAGAGAGTAAAATGATAGTGGGTCAACAAAATAATAAAAAGTATTGATGGGTCCCACTAATTCCATCTTCATTCTCTCCAATTCCTATCACTTTTGATAGGAATTATAATTCCCATATTTTAGACCCATTGGAATTCAATTCTCAACCTTTTTATTATTCCAAACATAATATATGGAAATGAAATTGGAAATGGAATTCCAATTCCTTACTTTTTTGTCAATCCAACAGGCTGTTCATTTTCGTTTCCTATTTTCTGTTTTCATGTCATAAATTTGGTAACTGAAATGAGAAAACTTGTTTACTTTTCATTCCGTTTTCTATTCGTTTCCAACTATGAAAACAGAAAGTGGCAACTTCCTGCTGTTTTCGGAAACGACAAAATGTTGTTTTCACCTGTTTTCAACATCTGTTTTCTCAAAAACAGGAAACAGAAATGAAAGTAAACAGGCCCTTAGTGTATTTTTAAAATTTGGCTATTATTGTCATAAAGTCGAAAATTCTGGCTATACAGGTGTATTAAGCCAAAAAAAACGTAATAATAACTGCTTCTCAGAAACACTCTAGGAAAGATAGATAAGCAGTTACGCTTAGCTGAAAAGGGAGATTGATAATACCAGAATGAAAATTTTAGAAGATTACCATGGGTTGTGATTGAATTTCTTTCAAATTGGGAAAGGAAAGCATGCATTTTAAGCTTTTGCGGATATAATGACTAAGGTGGCACACTTTATACCAATATGGTTCAAGTGAAATACAAAGGAGATTGCTAAATTGTACATGGCCCAGATTGTACGACACGATGCATATTTCCATCGTGTCAAATCGGGTATCAAGTTTATCTCACACTAATAAAAAGAGTTTACATGAAGCCACGAGAACGAGACTTGAATTCTCTACTACATATCACCCATAAAATGTTGGGCAATTCGAAGAACAATCTTAACCTTGGAGGAACTGTTCAGGACTTGCGCACTGGAAGTGGCGAGACCCTGGTTGTGATTGAATTTCTTTCAAATTGGGAAAGGAAGGCATGCATTTTAAGCTTTTGCGGATATAATGACTAAGGTGGCACACTTTATACCAATATGGTTCAAGTGAAATACAAAGGATATTGCTAAATTGTACATGGCCCAGATTGTACGACACGATGCATATTTCCATCGTGTCAAATCGGGTATCAAGTTTATCTCACATTAATAAAAAGAGTTTACATGAAGCCACGAGAACGAGACTTGAATTCTCTACTACATATCACCCATAAAATGTTGGGCAATTCGAAGAACAATCTTAACCTTGGAGGAACTGTTCAAGACTTGCGCACTGGAAGTGGCGAGACCCTGGTATGATTTTGTTTTAGGTGGAATTTTGCGTGATCAATTCATTCTGACTTAAAGAAAATAGAAAACGATGTTACTCGGTTCACACCTCTTCAAACACTATCCGAACGAGGGTGTTCGATGCATACATCAAAGGATCTGGTTACTATTACATTTACTCCTATGGAGATTCCTTGAGAGCTCCGCAACTACTGACTAAAACTAACAGAGAAGCCTCGTTGGAGGGTCCCTGGTGCTACTGCGACGGAGAAAATGATAAATTTTGACGAAACTGTTTGTGATTTGATTTGTCTGTCCCTCCTCCTATGTCTTGCTGCGAGTTTTGTTTTGCCTCACCCTCTAACCGCCCTCTCTCTCTCTCTCTCTCTCTCTCTCTCCCCCCCCCCCCCTCTTTTCCCAAAAATCAGCTCCACGTAGCATTTCGTAACTCCTCTCCAAGCGTCCTTTGCAAGTCAGCTGCTACTTCTGGTAACCACCTTCGACACGTCACCATGTCACTGGACAATCAACCCTACGTACCATGGATAACCAATTGGATGGTCACCATACATCAAGCAACTTGGATGACATCCATGTTAACTAAGACAATAATCCATGGATAGCACCATCCATTTAATAGTTTGGATAACGTCCATGATACGAGATGACATCATCCTTGTGGGGTTGGATGGTATCCATGATGTTGGACACTACCATCCATTATGGAATTTGGATGGTATCCATGTTGTTGGACACTACCATCCATTATGGAATTTGGATGGTATCCATACCCGAGCTACCATCCATGAACCCTGCGGCCAGACTTGAATAAATTGGACCATCTATGTACACGCGAACCAACTACTTAAATTGGCCAAGCTATTCGTACATGTAATAATTAATGAAAAATTATTTTGGTGTAAACAAATGCCCCACAACTTAATTCATAATAAATTATGGACTAAGTTGTTGACACCAACATACTGGACACGCAACCACTTGAAGCAGATATTGGCTTTATGTAACCATGTCTCCAAATCATATAAAGAATTTAATTCCTTCGAGGCAATGAAAACGAAACACACCAAAAGGGTGTCTCTGCCCAACTCGGCTTACAATTTCTTTTCCATTTTCTATTAGGCTTATGATAAATCCAAACAATGTGGCCTTAATAATACTTTTTCTTTTTTATAATAAAGAACACAAATTCTTTTTCGTGTAGGAAACACCTCTTAACGCACATCCTACTAGCAAAAGGAAACTCATCCTTATTACGACACAATTAATTATTTCCTCTATAAATTGATGCTCCCATTCATCATAATTCACAACTCAAAAAATATCACTGTACCTCTAAAGCTGTGCGATGCTTCCCCACTGTAAGACTCCTACTGTTCGGCCTCAAATCACCAAGCCAAGGTATTCTTTTCCCCCACTTTGCTTTCGTACGTTCGTATTAGGGATGGCAATGGGTCGGGTCGGGGGCGGATAGTGCATATCCGTTACCCTACCCAAAGTACTTCGGGTTTTACCCGTACCCATACCCACATGTGAAACGGGTAGAAAATCAAAACCATGCCCATACCCGTTCGGGTTTCGGGTATCCACGGTTATCCATGGATATTAATTTCTCTTCATAACTCCAACCAATATGTTAACATTCACACGTATTCTTATATTAAGTAAGAGAAAAAGTACGACAAGAATTCACTAGAATGAAGAAAATTAACTAAAACAACACAATTTCATGAAAATGTTATATTTATATGCTAAATATA